TTTGGGAATGTTGGCTATTAGGCCCAAAACAATATTTTCTCACACAAAAACCCTTACTTAAATGCTAAAATAGCACAAAATTTTGGGGTATTACATCCACCCTTCCTTAAAAGGAGTTTTGTCCCCAAAACTCAAATTGGGGATCATATCAAGTGGTGAATGGCTTCACCCAATCCAAGACAAAACAAATGTCCCACCGACTTTCTATAAACAGAACATAGCCTACTATGCTTCCGCTGCGCCACTCTGATATCAAATCACAACAAATCATAAAAGCAGAACACTAACTACTTAACAGGGTTTACCACGAAATGAGCTATTAGAGGCTGGGGTGATATGGGAAGCACAAGGAATAAAAATAAATCCTGCCAACACCACAAAAGAACAATTGTGGGGTTACGCTACGAACCCATCACAAGACGAGTTAGCAAAGAATGGCATGGATTTAATGACGAGCACAACAAAACTTTGAACTCTATCAAAGACGGATAAGCATCCAATGGATATATGGATCATAAATGAATGAACAAATACATGGATGCCTTACACACTTTGCTACAACAAGGTTAGCCAACAAGATCATGTTTAACAAAACAATTGGAATCAAGAAATGGATTTTAGCAATTAACAAGAGTTAAAAGCTCGGACCATCAAATGACATGTAAGGATCTCAAGAATTGCAACAGAATAAAATCAATGGAAAATATGAATGCTTGGAAGAATACCGGAACATAAGAGTGCAAGGTAGAATGCCTCAAGAATTTCAGCAACAAAATGGCATTCACCAAGAATCAAGATCAAATTTAACCAAGCAATCAAAATTGAGAGACAAGAGTTAACCATGAAACAGGCAATAGAATTCCAAAAATTAGGCCCACAAAAGAAATTTCAATAATGACAATGAGAACAAGAATTCGAGAGCAGATATAATCAGGAGATCAAGATCTAGCACCTCAAGTACTAGAATTAATTAACAGAACAAAGCAATGACTGGGATCAAGATGCTTAGAAGATTCATGTCTTCCAATTAAAAGGGCAAACAAAAATCCAAGCAGCCAGACCAAAGAACCATTTCACTTGGAACAAAACTCTAGGGTATCAAGTATTTCAAGGACTACCCCTTTACCTCGTAGCTCATGGAGGCTACAATCTGCTTAGCCTAAACATCCTAGAGCCAAGTCAAAGCTAAGGCATCAAGGATACAGAATTTAACACTTGCAAGAAGAGACAAGAACGAGGATACCTCATATAGGTGTCTTCTAATAACCATCACCCCTCCTAAAGAGGTGTCCATATGAACAAAAACCAAGAATCAAGAAGATCAAGAAGTATACAGAAACAAGAACGAGCAGAATATGCAGGATTTGAGCAAGAGCAGTATATCGAATTTGAACAAGAGCAGTATACAGAATTTGAACAAGAGCCAGTGTCAGAACAAGAATGGTTTTCAAGGTCAACTCAAAATAGATTTCAAGAACAGTGCAAGAATTAATTTCAGACAAGTATCAAGATAATGAGGATTCCAATAATCATTATCCATTTCCTTTGGATTTCAGTTTCAAGAACAAGTACAAAGCAATCTCAAGAAAGATTCAAGATGGATTTTAGGAGTTTCAAGCAGTTTCAACAGACATCAAGAATGTAGAGATTGGCAACAATATAGAGTTTAACTTTATGACAACTTGCCAATCTTCACAAAAATACAACAATTTCAATTGAATAATCACTGCTCTTGATTAACCAACATAGAAAAATGAGCCACATGACAAGACCATGAAGCTTCAAATGGAAAAAGTGAAATTTCACTATAGCACTTTCAGAAGATAAGGAGCAACGGAATTACCAAGTTATCCAGCTCCTAAAGCACAGCTAGAAAACACACAACATTGCTAAAATAGCCTTGAATCTCTTACAAAGTCGAGGGTTGCCCACCTTCCACTGGTCATGTGACAAACAGAGCAAATTTCTCAACCAGCTATGCTGTAGAGACAAACAAAGTCAATAACAAAGGTCTCTGCAACTCCCCAGATTTCACAATTGTGGCAAAAGAGCACACAAAAATTCTATTCACGTAACAAGCCTAAACAAATGCAGACTATTAGAAAATGACCAAGTTTCAAAATAAGGTCTTAAGAACATAACGGGCAAGATTACTTTCACAACTTCATACAGAGTATGAAGGCAAGAAACAAGAACAATCAGATCACCATCTCATCAAGATGGCTTAGAAAATTCAGGCAACATAAATCGGAATTGTACCTTATACAACCCCATCACTCATCTCACCACGGTTCTAAAATCCACTGGTTAGCCAAGTCCAAAACAAATCCTAGGTATTCAATTAAACCTAGGCTCGGATATCACTCAATCTGCTCTAATGCCACTCAATCTGAAGGTGCTTAATTTAATCCTAAGCTCTTAATTTCAACCTAAGCTCTTAATTTCAATCTAAGTTCTGATACCACTTTATCTCCAGATATCTAACTTAACCTAAGCTCTGATACCACTAAATCTGTCACGCCCCAAAACCCAAATTTCAAGGCGCGACAGACGCCGTACACTCGTGAGACGAGTCCCACAAGTGCACAAGGCTCGGAACTTATCATATCACACTCTGATACCACCAAAATCTGAAGATTGATACCACTAAATCTCCAAATACAATATCATGATTCATATCTAAAATTTATATCCAATTACAATATGGCTAGCCTTCTAACTCGTCACTTCCCGTGGTTTCCCCATCCTCGGTTTCACATCCTGAAATGGTGGACAAGGAAAACTATGAGATAAACTCAGTAAGTAAATATGGAGTGCCCCTTATCAAACTTA